GAATATTCATTTCGGACAAATAATGGAAACAAAATCAATCACATTTTTAATAATTTCAATTGACATAAACTGCTGTTTGTAGAAAATGCAACACCATGAAGGAATCATCAGAATCAAATGAAATTCGCAGCAAATGTCAATTATAGGATATTATGCAAATTAATAAAGTTTCAGAGCCATCGCGCGTGCGTGGCGCGCGCAGCGCCCTCTGAATTGATGCTGAAAGCGTATAAACAGTGGCGTAGCGAGGGGGGAGCAAGGGAGGGCATCATGCCCCGGGCGCTACTCACAAAGGGGCGCCAAATGCAAACAAAAAAAAATTGCTGGATAATTTTTATTTTTATTATAATTTATTTCTGCAAAATATATTTTAAATTTAGTGCCAGTGAAATATAATAAATGTTAATTCGTAAATAAAAAGGAACACTAATCAAACTGTAATAATATATTCATAATAGAAATGACACTTTTTTTTCTAATGGCTGGGCTGACTCGACCTGTGACTGTCAGCACTTCCTTATGGCATCTACGCTGTGTGGTTACATATATTATCTCCAAATATTTGCAGTGTATAAAGTATTTGTATGTTTGTACAGTGTATAATACAGATTTCAATGGAATAGAACTCTTTATCGAAGAATGTGACTGTAAAATGTTACTCCTTAGTAGAAAAGAAATTGAACTTAAAACTCCATTAGAATTTCTTACTTTTATAATCCAGTATGGAGAAGATGTTTTTCCAAACCTTAGAGTTGCACTTCAAATACTCCTGACTATCTCAGAATCAATTGCTAGCTGCGAATGGTCATTCAGCAAATTAAAATTAATTTTGACATATCTACGATCAACGGAGGACAAGATCGCCTAAGTGACCTAGCATTTTTAAGTGTGGAAAGAGAAAAATTTGAAATAATCGACTTTGATGATATTATTGATAAATTTGCTTCATCAAAAGCGGAAAATTTATACATAGTAATTAGTTTTATAATTGTATTATAATCATATTATTAAATATATGTATCTCCTTAGAGATAATAAATATTTACTTTTTTATTGTTTTAAAACTGCGTGTTTTTAAAATATTTCTTTATAAATATGTAAAATAAATAATAGGTATCTTATGAACTAATTCTAGATGATCATATACATTTCAAAATCTAGTCTTGCTTTCTCAACTACACTTTTTGTCTCAAATTTAATGCCTAACTTGAGCCTATGACTATGAGCCTTTACTTTATTTATTTATTACTTTGCGAGTATATTTTACTTATAATATTAAATGGTTTTCAAATGGGGGGGGGGCGCTAAAAAGGTATTGCGCCCCGGGCGCGAGTTAAGCTCGCTACGGCACTGAT